TGGGTCTCCGCCATGTGGCTTATGCTCTAGCTCCCAAGAGACATAAAGCTTTTCTGCAGAAGGATCCTATGTGTACCGCGTGGTTCTTGCTGGCGAGACGGTAGCGCGGGACAGCCCTGTTACAGGGTTGGGGAGTCTCAAGACTGGAATTTCTCCTTAGGCTGCTTTCCAAGTGGCACTTAAAGCTGGGTGACTCTGAAAGCTGAGGACACTTGTGAGTCCTGGAGCATTTTCCTAGGGACGTATCTAACAGCTCTTACTGTGTGTGTGTGTGTGTGTGTGTGTGTGTGTGTGTGTATGTGGGGTGTGTGTGTGCGGGGTGTATGTGGGGTGTGAGGTATGGGGGTGGTGTGGGGGTGTGGGGCATATATGGTGTGTGTGTGTATGGGGTGTGTGTGGTGTGTATGTGTGTTGTATGTATGTGTGTGGTATATGTGTGTGTTTGATGTATATATGTGGGTATGTGGTGTGTGTGTGTGGTGTGTGTATGGTGTATGAATGCACACATAAGAGTGTACATGCACATGTGTGTGTAAGCCAGGGATCAATATCAGATGTCTTACGCAATCTCTCTCCATCTTATTTTCTGATACATCGTCTCACTTGGACTGGGGCTGATAAGGTGAGGCTGACCAGCAAGCCCGTCCGTCTGTCTCTGGCTCCTCAGTTCTGGGGTTACAGCACACAATGCTTTACTCAACATTTTGCTTGGGTGCTGGGGATCTGAACTCGGCTCCTCACTTTACCTATGGAGCCAACTCTCCGGCCCCAGCACCTCCTACTTTTAACCCAGTGTCCACACTTAACCATCTTCTGGGCCCTCCTATGCTGCCTCCCACATGCTAAAAAGACTTCTGGAGTATTTAAACCTCCTTCATCCCAGTACTGGGGAGGCAGAGGCAGTGAGTCTCCCTGAGTTTAAGGTCAGCCTGGTCTACAGAGAGTTCCAGGCCACTCAGGGCTACACAGTTGAGACCCTGACACAGATAGAACACTCCAAAGCTATAACAAACCAACCAACCATATAATGTGTGTGTGTGTGTGTGTGTGTGTGTGTACATAAAACATATATAATCTTCAAACTTGGTTTTAGGATCTTCATTTTACAGTCTTTATTGAGGAGGAGGTGTAATTAAAAAAAACAAGAAGAAAAGAATAAAGAAAATTAAAAAATGAAAAAAAAAAAGCAATGAGGGCCCAAGAAGATGGTTGATCGGGTAAGAGCATCTGCTGTGCAGTTAAACCAGGAGAGTCCCTGGGAGCCTGTGGGCTGTCCAGCCTGTGTGCATCAGCAAAACAATAGAGACCTGCCTCAGACAAGACAGACAGACGTGCCTCTCTGACCTCCAGACACTTACTGTGAGGAACCCACCCTCACTGACACACATAAATGTGTACACCACACACACCACACACCCACATATACCACACACATACATACATACACACATGCACACCATATACACATACACACTACATACACACAATACACATACCATACATACACACCACATACACACTACATACACACACACCATGCACACATACACCATGCACATACACACATCCACACACTACACACATACACTACACACACCACATACACATACACCACACATACACCACACATACACCACACACACATACACACACACACACACATTTGCATGTCCAGCATAAATTTCTGTTTCTGACATTTCTACTCAGTTTTAACTTGCATACAGTTTTACAAACCGAGTGAAAACTTTTTTTAAATATTTATTTATTTACTTATTATGTATACAATATTCTGTCTGTGTGTATGCCTGCAGGCCAGAAGAGGGCACCAGACTCCATTACAGATGGTTGTGAGCCACCATGTGGTTGCCGGGAATTGAACTCAGGACCTTTGGAAGAGCAGACAATGCTCTTAACCACTGAGCCATCTCTCCAGCCCCCCGAGTGAAAACTTTTAATATAACATCGGGACCAAATCAAAACAGGAAAACTAACAAATACTATTTGGTCCAGAAAGGGCTTAGTCAAGCGAACAGACAGTTTATTTTCATACTTGCCTTTGCTATTTTCACCTAATTTGCAGATGACCAACAACAAAATATGCCCTCAGCAGAGTTGAGTATTTTCACTTTAAAATGAAGGTCTAGATTGCAGTATGTTTCTCCAGAGCTGAAAAACAAGTGTCTTGTTATTTTTTTTCTTCTTGTTTATAAAATAATGCTGCAATAGTGGCTTTAGTTTGGACTTTTTTAAAAAATCTAACTACAATCTTGGCTTGTACCATGGTGAGGTAGTTTGGGATTTAGCGGGTGTGACATCAAAGCCAGCTTTGGGAATGGCTTAACTGAGAATTCCTGAGCCTAGCGGTGCACAGGCTATCCCAGAATTTGGAAGGTGAAAATAGAAGGATCAGGAATTCAAGGCCATTCTTGACTACACTGTGATTCCGAGGCTAGGCTGGGCTATTTGAGACCCTGCTTTGAGTATTGAAAGGAGCAACAACACCTTTTTGGAAACAGGGTCTCATGGTGTAGCCTAGGCTAGCCTACAGTTTCTACATCCTAAATGCAAGATTATTGGCCTGTGCCATCACATTAGTTCTTTCTGTATGAAAATGAAGCAAAGATGGGACCTACTTGTCGATTTTCTTGCTTATATAGTTCTGTGTAGCAACGACAGTTTAATGTTGTGTGAATGAGTGCTCACGAATCCAATTTCAAGAAAAAACTATCCTGTATCTCTTCTGCAACTGTTAGGGTATGGGGTTACTTCACAAACACTTAAGAAGACAGATGAAATCGGAATCGACAGGATAGTTTCCACTTGGCCTGTTCATTTATTCACCAAGAAGACTATAGATTTACATGTTTTCACTTGTTCCAAGAAAGAAAAACAGCTTTATTTTGTCGGTGGTAGGGTAGACTTTTAAAAAAGAATTGTGTGTGTGTGTGTGTGTGTACCACACTGGTACCCATGGAGGCCAGAAGATGGCATCAGATCCGCTGGAGCTGGAGTTACAGACAGTTAGATGGGGGTGCTTAGAATGGAACCCTGGTCCTCTAAAAGCAGCAG